TGATGATCAAAATGTGCATGTTCATTACGACGTGCTCAAGTTTTATATGTACTTTTGTACTGTAGTTTACCTGGATGGTATAGACAGCAAAAATAAAGTCGTGAAGACTACGAAATTACAGCTATTATCATTCTGAGTAAAGAATTAAGGGTAGCGCCCGCAACAAATGGATTGTTAACTCACGTTGTTTTTATTTTTCAGTAATGGTGAAAATGTACCCTTCAATTCTACATGCGGCCATATTTTAAGAACTAAGACAGTATCGTCCAATGAGGGAAGTTTTGCTGGCGGGAGTGCTGTTATAGATAGTCCATTTCTTGTGTAGTTGTAGTTGTAGTGTAGTTGTCGTTACTTTTTAATGGCCTAAGCTTTAATTTAACATTAAAAAAAAAGTAAAGTGAAACATTTACAAGACTTCGCTGCTGTATGCATTCCGATCCATAGTCATGTTGAATAATCTTAAAGCGGGAGGGTCGTCACAAAGCGACGATAGCAACACACGCTAACAATGCAAAGGCTCATGGATAGACGCTTGTTTGTAAACAATGACACGCTATGGCCATCTTGCGCATGCGCAGATGACGACTCCCCCGCTTTAACATATTTTTCCTTGTCCATTTTCTGTGTTTTTCTACTAGTAATATCAGATTGTATATAATGTTTATACTTTGCTAACCAATCATGATCTATGATTGCATTATTTTCATATACAACTTTTAATCAGAACGCCAAATAGAATACTCGTTCCACATTGTTTGCAATAAAATCATATGTAATCGAATGTCTCCCGTTTTTGTTTGCAATTGAAAGTTTGCAAAGTTGGTTGATATGATTGTTTATAAAAAAAAAGTAGTATATATTCAAAGTTCATGAAAACAACTCAAACAACTGCCAACAAAACTAGAAATATTTCATTGGAAGACGGAAAGCGACTCAAAGTATGGAAAGCAGTTTGAATCAACTATAAAGTATTTTCCCAATGTGACAAGGGTTGCTTCCAAAAGTATGTTCTATCAAGCTTTGTAAAACGGTTTGATATGATTACAACAAGGTCATGAAGGTTACTTTAAATGATCAGTGTTGTTTGAAAAATCGGCAAAAGAATTTAGAATCACACAACCAACCGACTTTGTAAACTTTCCTGTCTTTCAAAGCAATGTTCATAGTTTGATTTACTTTAAATATTTATTTTCTACATGTGTCTTCAGGCATACCTTCTCTTTTCTAGATTGACCCACCCTGCTTACAGTCTTGACCTCTGTTGTTCAGGAATTTGTAGTCTTTGTGAACCACTTTACGAATTTCCACACGTCTCTCCCACAATTTTCCTACCTACCAAACCTATTTTCCAAACATTGTAGACAAATTTGTAGTTTTTTTTTCAAATAAAGTGTCGAACCTTTATACAACTTTCTAACACATGTATAACACCTACATTTGTAGGTTTGATTTTGTAGTCATTGCACACCACTTTGCAGACTTTCATACAACTATTCCGAAAGTTCCTATTTATATGTTCCTGCCTTCAGAATATACCTTTCTGAGATGCTTTGAAAGCCTTCATATTCTTTTTCCATAACTTTGCACGCTATGTAAACATTTTCGCTTTAAAACTTACCTGTTCTTGCAGACAACTATGTAAGCTTTCAATGTCAATTTGTGAATATTTATACAACTTTCCCGTCTTTAAAAGTAATTTTTTTAACATTTGTATTAGATTTTGAAGTTTTCTTCAACAACTTCGAAAATCTTCAGACATTTTCTCGCACATTTGTACACAATTTATACTGTCTCGCCTTTAAAACTATATAGCCGTTTCAAATCATATGAACCTCAATACAACACTGCCGTCTTCAAAATTAACATTTTCTAACACTTTTAATCTATTTTCAATTACTGTATACAACTTTGTAGTCACCTTTCACACGTTCTTATTTTATCTTTCCACAAAACTTCGTAGTCACAATTCAGTTTGCGAACTAACTTTCCAGCAACTTTTTACACGATGTATACGATCCCGCCTTTCCTAATATTTTGTGTAATATTTGTATACGACTTTGTAGTCTTTTTGAACAACTTTGCGAGCTTTTCCGCATTATTTTATTCATATGCCCAACCTTGAAAATATCCTTTTTGACTTAATACTGAACCACGTTACATTTAAAGTTCTTCAAAATATTGAAGAGATACATCCAGTCAACCATACCAAATACCTTCTCAAAATCTATTCCTAGTAAGATGCACCCCATATATCTACAAGTCTCACATAATAATTAATATTACGTCCTTCAACAAATGCTGCTTGCACTGGACCTATAAACTCGGGAACAACTTTCATGCGGGAAATGAGTCGCTAACATTTTAAGTGTAATTAGTCATAGTCCACCTTTTCTATAACACTACTGAAAACTTATCCAAGTCATAATTTAGTGACTGTACACGAAATTATATCCCATTTTCATAGAGATTTGAATAATAGAATTTGATTTTATTCAACATTTTCTGAGGTTGACTTGTCTCACCGAAATTCACTAGTTTTTAGTTTTATGATATGTCTTTTGTTTGTTCTCCCCAAACTAACCATTTAATTTCTTCAGGTTTGAATAAGTACGAGGGGCGTTCAATAACTAATGCCCCTGACCCATTTCCCATAGCAGGAGATTAATGAAACTTTGCACAGTTATTTGTTTTTCTCTACATAGGAACCACCCAAAGTTATGCATTTCTCCCATCGTTTGATGCAGCTCTGGACAGCGTTTTTTAGAACACCCCAGGTTGGTTCGCCAACCACGTCATAACTTCAGAAATCAAGGCTGCATCATCTGGGAAACGCTTTCCTTTCAAGAACAACTTCATGGCTGGGGAAAGATGAAAGTCAGAGGGCGCAATGTCAGGAGAGTAAGGGGGATGGGGGATGATTTCATAGCCACACGCCTGTGCTTCTGATCTGGCGACATGTGAGTTGTGGACCGGAGCGTTGTCCTGCAGGAGGAGGATACCTTTGCTGATCTTACCCCGCCTCTTGATTTTGATAGCTTCTCTTAATTTCATCAAAAGTGAAGCGTAATAGGCTCCTGTAATTGTGGTACCCTTTGCCAGGAAGTCTGTCATCACTACTCCGTCCTGGTCCCAGAAGGGCTGCACCCTTGCTTACTTTGGAGTGGTGAGTCCAAGTGCTTCCACTGCATTGACTGAGCTTTGGTCTCTGGATCATAGTGATGGACCCAAGTTTCATCATGTGTAATCAGTCTTTTGAAAAACTTTGACTCATCTTCTTGGCACATCTCCAAATTCATCCTCGAGCACTCGACACGTTCTTGCTTCTGGAAAGGTGTGAGCAACCTGGGAATCCATCTGGCAGACACCTTATGCATATGGTCATGAATGATAGCTTTTACATACCCTGTACTAATCTTGACCTCTTGGGCTATTTGGCGAACAGTAATGCGTCGATCTTTCAAAATGGCTGCCTCAACTTGACGGACAGATGCCTCATCAATGGCAGAAGAGGGACGACCAGGTCTGGGAGCTGTTTCCACAGACTTCCGACCAGGTTTGAATTAACGATGCCAGCGTTTTACAAGGTCATATGATGGGGCATCATAACCATCAAAAGTCTCCTTTGGTGTACGTCCTTTCAAATACAAAAACCGGATCACTGCGCGACTATCAACTGGCTCCATTTCACACCTGACTCAGTTCAAACACCTGTAAATCAGAAACCATAAATTGCAACATAACCCATAGAGATGTAAATCATTACACATGCAAATTTCATCTAGATCAGACAACTGGAAGTGGGTCAGGGGCATTACTTATTGAACGCCCCTCGTATTGCTTATATTCTATCACATCTCATAATTCTTTATCCTTAATTCCTTCCATTTTCATTAGTTTTATCCTTCACTAATTAATTTCCCGCAATCATCGTCTCTCACATGGGATGAGTTGAATCGTCACTAGGCTTGGCCATGATGTTGATTGACGTATTATTGCCGAGCGGTCTGACCAAAGCCCAGGTATTATTTCGTCTGAAATACATTTGATATTATAAAGTAATATACTTTTTTGTAATTTTTTTAAAAACTATGAACAAACGATAATAATATCACATTGTACCAACATTGAGACGCATGCCGAAATGGAAAATATAGATCAGGTACTGCGCCCCATATTTGAACATTTTCCCTGCCTTAAAGGTTTCAGAAAAGTTACCAGTCCACTATTGCTAAACATTTTTATCCACATTTCATATAATATTACTTTCTTTTACATAACTATTCTTGCTTTGTCAACCTAAATCTTTTACTGTGAGCGTTTCTATCCTTCTATTGCTTTCTTCAACCATGATTGTTGCTAGTGCTCTCCTTTGCGAACTTTCCTACATATTTCCCGCTTTCAAAAGTAACTTTTCCCAATCTTTATAAACGATTATGTAGTCTTTCAGAACCAACTTGCAACATTTTATACCACAAAGATTCTAAATATATTTTTTTACTTTAATCTCAAATCAGTTCCCCAAACGTGCATACAGCTCTTTCGCCGTCCACAGTAACTTTTGAATGCAAATTTGAACCATCTTCTAACATTTGTATGTAACCACATTGCAAACTTTGTAGAATTCTCAAATCAGTTTCCAAATATTCACACAACATATTCAAATGCCGAGATAATTTATTCTCATATTTGTAAACGTCTTGCTTGTCTTTTAAAAACAACTTACATAACATCTTGCCTATATTTTACCCCAAATCACTCGCGAAACTCCATACATTTGCATAAAATTTCTGCCTTTAAAAGTTATTTTTTTATCATTTATACACAAATTCGTCTTCTCAAACCACTTTGCGAACCTTTTGTAACAATCGTTTGTTTGAACAACGTTCCGATTCGTAACTTTTATCCCACTTGTCCACAATTTTTTTTTACACTATCCATACAACGATTTTGCTTCAAAACTATTTCCTAACAGTGCACACAAATGTGTGGTTTTCCCAAATCATTTTGCGAACCATATAACTTCTCTACCTTCAAAATAACTATTTCTTTATGATATTTGCAAATGTTACACACTACACACTTTTCCAAGAGACTCATTTGAAAGCCGATAACTTGTAATTTACCTCAAATCAAATTTCACAAGGTTCCCGCCTTCAAGTACTGACAGTGACACGTGTAGACAAATTGTAGGTGTCTAATAACACTGCAAACTTGTACACAAAATTTCCTGCAATGACTATTTAGACGTTTTCACCTTTCAAACTTTGTAGTCCTAGCAAATCACTCTGCGACCTTCATTGTTTTGAACTTTCTTACAAATCCCAC